CAGTTTGTGCAGATGGGATGGAGTGCGCAGACAGGAGTGCAGGATACCGGGGGATCAAGGGGCGGGGAGGGCTCAGAGTCTATGGACGCAATCCCAACCTCCACTTCATGTGTATTGTGTAAGGATAGGACCTAAGTGGTTGCTCTGCTGATTTCTTCCCCAAGCTGCCCCAGGTGGAAATGAAAACTGCCAAATAAAACAATAAAGTCCTGATCCGCTGATCCAACCTTAATGGCCTTCAAATGTCAAGAGGCAAGAATGCAGCCAGGGGAGGGAGTTAGTCTAACTCAGACACAGTCTTCCCTCCCCAGCAGCGTTCACCATTACACCATCAATTTCCTTCATAGAGTGAAAGCCCAGGTCAGTTCCCTGCTTGGGGGGGGGGGGTTTACATTCCTGCCATATCTCAACTAATTGAAATCAGGAGTTGACAGTCACCACAGGGCATGGGAATGGAGCTGGGGTGGGTGGGGTTTGCTGGAGAGATCCAACTCTTTGAATTCAAGTTGTGCCTAAGAGTGCACATCTAGCATAACCGTGTGTGACAAAGGAACTTCACAATTCTCCTGAAGGTCTTGCATGGAACCAACAGGAGGTGCTGCAGTTCATGATTTTCTCCTAAATATTCGACACTCCACCACTACTTTTTAGCTGGTGTGTGTTTCCCAATCCATGAGACTATTGACTTGAGCCTGCCTGCCTCTCCCTCCTTGTGTGACTGTGCTGTACCATTCAAACAGAGAAGAAAGGGAGAGGGCAATGGCTGAGCAAAGCAGAGGCATGGTGAATATTACCCGCAAATTATATTAATCAGATGAGACAAGAAGGAGCACATCTGGGACCATGAATCATAGGCTGCCTACACACCATACATTTAAAGCACATTGCTTCCCCAAATAACTGCTGGAGCTGTAGTTTGCCCCTCACAGAACTACACTTCCCAGAACCTGTAACAAACTATAGTTCCCAAGATTCTTTTGAGGGCAAGTCACGTGCTTTAAATGTAGGGGATGTGTATGCAGCCATAGATGGATGGGAGGGAATGTTCTGATTGCATAGGGCATCTGGCCCACTCTCTGCCCTGTGTAAGGAGCATTCAGAACTAAGCAAAGCTCTGGATGTGTACACTGAGCTTGTTTTCTCTATGATCATGCAATGGCCATGAATGAATGCATTTTCTATGTCTAGAAAATAGGCATAATTCTACCTCTGCTTATGTTAACACACCTCTCTGCAAAGCTCACCAGTGGGAAGCAATCACTTTGGGAAGAGCTCTGAAAATCTCTCTTTTGACCTCTGCACCAGAAACTGTAAGATTTACAGAGGGAGTTCTTAGTCAGCACCCCCCTTACTCATGTATATATTCTGCTACATTGTTGTGTGTGTGTGTGTGTGTGTACGCACACATGTGAATACACATTAGCATGAACGCGAGAGATGATGTCAGAGTTACCATAGGAAACAAATTGCCTTGAAGAATGGTGAGCTTTCCTGAGATGCTCCCCCCCATTTAAACATTAACAGGGACAGTTAATTAAATGCAATGTTCTCATCTGGAGTTTATTACATCTGACTTTTCTCTGCACTAATCCTAACATTGGCAAGCTGTGTGCATTTGTGCATTTGAAAGTGTCTGCACTTATGTAAATCTGCATGAGTGCAAATCTGGGCATGATGTTTTTGTAGATATCATCCATGCATTTCTGATTGGAAGGTGATCTGAGGAGATTGAAGTTGATCAATAAGGGGTGATCCAAGCACTGGTCACTACTTTGGGGAAAATGCAGCTTGAAATCTACAAAACCTAATAGTGGACAGATTGTTGCACTCAGACCTATAATCCGGTCCACCATGAAGCTCACTTGCTTGCTTTGGGCAAGTCACCATTTCCCATCCTACCTAATGGGATTGTTGACAAGAGATATGGAATAACCTTGTGGAACTTGGAGGAAGAAGTTTTCTTTTGCAGACTTTGTAAGCAGGAGACAAGAGTGTTCCTTAAAGAAACTTTCATTTGATCCGTGCTAACATGTACAGTGATAATAGAACCTAGACTGTGTCTTATGTGGTGTTCCCAAGAAATATGTCCCTCCTGTCCAACCACACAGAACAATTTGGTTCCTACTAATGATCCTATGATTGAAGGTGGGTTTCAGAAGTGAGAAATCAATTATAATCCAAACTAGATCATTCCCCACTCTGTGCCAAAAAGATATGCAAAACTATTATTTTATTTTTATTTAGTGCCTTTACACATTTCTTGTATCATGGAATTCAAGATGGCATACATGGGGTTCCCAGGCAATTTCCATTCCAGGCACCGACCAAATCCAGATCTGTTTGGCTTTAGTAAGGTGGCTGCACCAGCTGCACCACCCTCAGAAAACAAGTCTCAAAAGTATTGTTGTTCTGTTGACACACCCCGTAATGGTCCAGCTTCATTTTGCAGAATGAGTTATTGGCATTAAGATTTTTATTGAAGTTTTTCATAATACAGTGGTGCCTCGCAAGACGAAATTAATTCGTTCCGTGAGTTTTTTCGTCTATTGAATTTTTCATCTTGCGAAGCACGAAATCCCATAGGAATGCATTGAAATTCAATTAATACGTTCCTATGGTCAAAAAAAGTCCAAACAAAGCCAAATTTGGTACAACAAGAGTTTATTAAGTGCTCTTTAAAGTCACACATACTGTAAAGAGCATTTCAAAATTGAAGGAACAATAAATTAAGTTTCTAAACATGACAGAAAAACATTTAAAAATCAACAAAGTGTACAGTACATTTTCTAAGACTCTGGGGGACAACTCGAAGAAGGTTCCTCTTCCACTCTTTGCTTCTTGCTGAAGAACCCCCTCCCCAACTGTTCCCCCAGCCGCCCACCACACAGAAATTCAAATCCAGAATTTTTTTTTAAAAACAGCAGAGTGGCCCAATGGTCACAGAAAATCATAAAAATGCAGAAAAAAACCACACAAGCTTCCAGATTCTTGCAAACCCCTCCTCAACTGTTCCCCCAGCCACACACCACACAGAAATTCAAATCCAGAAATTTTTTTTAAAAACAGCAGAGTGGCCCAATGGTCACAGAAAATCATAAAAATGCAGAAAAAAACACACAAGCTTCCAGATTCTTGCAAACCCCTCCCCAACACCAAGTCCTTGAATTCCAAACACCCCAACCCAAAATCCAAAACCCCCCCAAAAAGTTTTAAAAGTTTAAAAGAAGTTTTGGAAAAGCTTCAAAAATCACCAAAGTCTTTAAAAACCTCAAAAAAGGCTACCACACCGCGTTCTATGAGTTGCTCCTCGAAGTCAAGTCACAACTGTATTAACGGTGTTAAGAAAAAGGAAACAAACTTGCAAGACGTTTTCGTTTTTTGTCTTGCGAAGCAAGCCCATAGGGAAATTCGTCTTGCGAAGCAGCTCAAAAAACGGAAAACCCTTTCGTCTAGAGAGTTTTCCGTGTTGCGAGGCATTCATCTTGCGGGGCACCACTGTACAGTAAGATATAGAAACCTAATGCAATTTTTTTAAAAAAAGACAAAAACAGCCACATTTTCCTTTTCTCCTTTCACTACTTACTCCCATTTTGCAGAATGAACTATTCATGACTCTTGAAGATGGACAACTTTAGGTGGTATGTTTGGTTGCCAGCGTTAAAGTACTCCTAGAGAAGAGGTTGTGATTATATACTGCCTATAAGCAGGCAATTAAAAAGTAAGTGGATTTAGTTTCTTACACAAGCCAAGCTCCCTAGAGAACTCGCACTAGCTTCAAGTTTCTAAAGGAGTAGAACAGGGGTCCGCAAATTTTTCAGCAGAGGGCTGGTCCACTGTCCCTCAGACCTTGTGGGGGGCCGGACTATATTTTGAAAAAGAAAATGAATGAATTCCTATGCCCTACAAATAACCCAGAGGTGCATTTTAAATAAAAGGACACATTCTACTCATGTAAAAACACGCTGATTCCCGGACCATTCGCGGGCCGGATTTAGAAGGCCATTGGGCCACATCCGGCCCCTGGGCCTTAGTTTGCCTACCCATGGAGAAGATTTACCTCTGACTTGTGAGATTGGATCAGACGGTTTGAATCTAGAATCTCTCTCTCCCAGCCCTTCAGGCAGTTTGGTTTCAGCAACATTCCATAGCTGGACAGCTCCATATGGAAAAGCAGCAACAGGGTATGCTCCATACATTTAAAACACTCCTCCCATAAGAATCCTGGGAATTGTAGTTTGTTAAGGGTGCTGGGAATTTTAACTCTGTGAAGGGTAGACTACAGTTCCCAGGATTCTTTGCGGGGGGACGTACTTTAAATGTATTGTGTCTGTGCTGCCCGAGTCTCAAACCAGAGTCTGATCCAAGACACACTCACAATATCTCCAATTTGTAGGTAAAATGGGGGCAGGAGGAGAAGGAGACACAATTTCCCCAAGGAAAGTAGAAATCCTTGCAAGCTTCCCTTTAGCTGATGACTTTGCTCCCCTAGATATGGTTGGTGTCTGTCCAATAAGACAGAATTACGTAAGGCAAAGTCCCTTGGTGGATTTTTAATTAAAATGTTGAGCATTAAGGGAAATTGAAAAAGGCATCCTAATTCAGGGCTCTTTGGAGGACGGAAACAAGAAATCTCCCTATCTTAATTGGCAAGGAAGTTGCCCACCTGGCCAAACACAGAAAACGCTCCTTCCCCAAAGAAATAGAGTCATTCACCAGCCCAATATTGTACGCGACTGTCAGCCCCTTATCGGTCCATCATTGCACACATCGCAACCTATAATTCACAACACCACCTGGCCAATATAAAAAAGAATTGCAACATTTAGAGGGTCCCTTTATTGCCAAGGAGAATGACCATCTGCTACAGAGGCCTGCGCTAACCATGCAATTAACAGTCCCAGAAATGAGGAGAGGAAACCAATGTGGGCATTTTGTAACAACAACAACAACAACAGCCACACCTCCCCTCCTGTCCTTTAAGCCTATTCTGCAATGTCATGTGGAAGGGCTGCAGCTCAATGATAGAGCCTCTGCTTTGCATGCAGAAGGGCATTGGTCCAATCCCTGGACTGCCTCCAAGTAAGACTAGGGAAGACCCCTACCTGACATCATGGAATCAGTATAGGCAATACTGAGCTGTATGGACCAATGGCCTGACTCAGTACAACACAGCTTCCCATATGTGTGAGAGGAGAGTCCCATTATTTTCACCTTTGGTTCTGGCACCTCCTTCACTTTTTGTGGGCAGAGCCTGCCAGACCATTAAAAATGGATGGGCAATTGAAAGCCTTGTGTCAAGAGGCAATGTCATCTTTGATTGAGAAAGATACTAATGGCTACCCAGGTATCCGAGCTCAGAGGATCAATGCCTTTTAAGAAGCACTTGTCACTAATTAAATCATTCACAGTGTTTGCGTGAAAGGGAGGCAGGCATGTTATCAGTTGTTTAATTCTGTTACAGCTAACACTTTTTGGCAGTTCTAGGAGTCCTACAGTGCCTGCAGGCTGCATGCAGAGACTTGAAGCACTTGCTTTTGGCCTCCTGATGGCATGTGAGAAACTTGGACACAACCATCTTTCGTGCAGTAAATCTTCTCGTTCTCATCATTATGAAAAGTTTGAGTCTGAGATGGAGAAGGATCTTTCCCACCACCTGGCTTGCTGCCTGATCCTTTTGTCCAGAGACCTTGACACAAGGTCATTGTGGGGGTGTTAGGGACTGGACCTTCTGCAAAGAAAGTGTGTTCTCCATCTGCGCACGGCCTGCCTGGAGAGCAGCCACATTCTTGCTGCAACACACAGAGTGAAGATACAGGGTATTTTAAGTGTTGCTCGTGCCAACCAGCAAACAAACAAACTTTCTCTTTGCCCCACAGCCCTGCTGCACTGGCAACAGGAAGTCACTCCAGCAATGGGGTCTGCTGAGACTTGGAAATATTTGTCTGAAAGAAGGATTGGCACAAAAGAACCATCTTAGTCTGGTCAATTATTAATAAGCATTCCTAGCTGCAACCAGACTGGGCCAGAAGCACATTTATCGGGCAACAAACACAACGTGGGAGAGTGGGGCTGGTAGATTCAGGGTTGCCACCCGTCCCCTTGGTACTGTAAAAGCACTGCTTCCCCCCTAGACAATTGCCTTCAAAGGCTCCCTGGGATGTTCAATGGAGCTCTTGTCTTGGCAAAATACCTCTGGCTTCTCAGCAATCAAGCACTGTCCCGTCTCTGATATGCGCTGGCAGCCTCTGCTGGGTGACACGTTTTCACTTGTCAAGGCACAAAGGGATTGTGCAATGAAGCCAGAGCAGTGGGAGTGTTTTAGGCACTGTCCTGCAAACAACCATTACACAAACACACTGGCCAAGTCGTAAAAGGCAACTTGGCTGCAGCAATGATTTGGGAGGCCAGGAGGGGAGCGATCTGTAGGGAGCAACCCAGCTGTCTGGCGGGCCGGCCTGAAAGAGGAGTTGCTTGCTAGTTTAGGAAAACAGGGAAGGCAGGCAAGGACCCACAGCCCAGGTGGGGCTCGCTAGCTCGGGGAAAAGGCATGTGATTCCTCAGCTGGAGTGGGCTCAGGACAGGTGAGGGTCACATGCCTCACCAAGCCCAGAAAGTATAAAAGGAAGCCAGCCTACTGAGCAAAGGCTAACATAGGTTGCTTCACCCATCTTTGTCCCTTACCCTGTTCAACAATGGCATATGATCCCTGGAAGTTGTCCAGAAGTGAAAGCAGCACTTGGTTCAAAAACAGGTTTTCCAACTGGATCAAGGTACCCAGGGAGTTTTCTGGCCAAATGGGATTGTATCCAGATCTCCTAAGTCCTAGTCTGATGCTCTAACCACATGGTCTCTAACACAGCACCCCCAGACACCCCCTTGGGTGCCCACAAAAACTAACTACCCTTCTCAAATTTTATTTTTGTTGTATTTGGGGGGGTTGTCTGTTTCTTTGGTTTTTGTCTACGTTTTGTTTGTTTTGAGAAGTATAGGTGATTTGTCTGGATTTCCATATATATATATTTGTATTTTCTGGTTGCCACAACAGTTTCTTAGATTGCCCCAGGGCCCATTTGATCTTATTGTACTAAGTGGCATAATCACACTTCACCTCTGTAATATTTAAAATTTCCCTCTATTGAGACCTGGACCTTTATCTTCTTTGTAAGAGGAGTCTAGCCAGAGGGGTTACCTCCCTCTTTTTCATTGGCTTTGAATTAAGCAGATTCCAGGCTTGTCTTTTTGAAAGATAGTCTTCTGTTTTCCCCTCTATGCCCAGAAGATGGTGCTACCATACCATGCACAAATACCGATAACTCACTTTAATGTGCAGTACAAGCAATAAAGAACATAGAAAGCCATGACAGACCAGGTCAATGGCACATCTAGTCCAGCATCCTATTCTCACAGTGTCCAACCCTACCTACCTGCCAACCACTTTGCCAACCCCCTTCTTTTACACCTGGGCAACCCTCGCAGCTTACACAGACTTTCCTTCTCCTCCTCACAGCCTGCCCCTCCTCTATTCCCTCACAGCTGGTCCCAAACCACCCCCTTCCCTCACAAGCTGCCCCTACCCTAGGCTGCCTGCCACTCACATTGCTTGCTTGCTCCTATGCCTGCTGGTCTGTCGTCACACTGGAGTTGCTGCCACACAAATTGCAGCATGATGATAGCCTTGTAATGTTATAATATAGTCAGATAAGCTTTTTGTGGATGACAGTCCTCTTCATCAGATGTGTGAGCATGCTTGCATAGAGTCCGCTTTTATGCTCTGGCATGCTCTTTAAAAGGCAGCCTTTAAACAGCAACATTGTTAGGAGTTTAAGGTTTTAAGCCAGTATCAGGAAACCAGCTGCCCTTGAAATATTGTTGGTACTCCAACTCCTACCAGCCTGAGCCAGCAGGGACAATAAACAGGGATGATGGGAACTGTAGTTGACTGTGCTTTCCTCCTGGAGGAAACACTGGGGATACAGTGCTATCTTGCAGAGGACACTTTTCTGGATTGAAGAGTGCATGATTTATTGTGCCCCAAAGCATATCTTGGGGTAGGCTTCTCCCAGTCCTCTGGGGTATTTTTGGTACATTTCTTGGCAAATTGGGTGTACATAGATGTGCTTGACCATGCCTTGTGCCCAGAGGACTTGGCAGAATTTAACATCATTACAAAGAGGAGTCTCTCTAGGATGCAGGTGTGTATGATCTGTAGCAGCCTGAAGCGTATTTTGGGATGGGAATTCCAGTTTTTACTTTTTTATTGTGATGTTGCCACACATTCATGAGTGTTGCAGAAGCAGAATTTGGGATGAAGAGAATTATTGCTGGGCTTGAACATGAGCTTTTTTAAGGAAATCAAGTTGTTGAGCTTTTCTTGGGAAAACACGGGTGAAAATACCCCGTAAACAGGACATTGCAGGGGGCAGGCTTCTGCAAGGGAGGGGGTGCAGAACCTCAGATATTTGAGTACTTTCAATGCTTTTCAATAATAATTGGGGGGGGCAGGGCCAGATTTAGGTTTGATGAGGCCCTAAACTACTGAAAGTAACAGGGCCCTTTATATGTCCAGCTGTCCTTTGTCAACAACAAATTGTTGCTTTTTTGTGTTGAATATATGCTATATGGTAATTTATGGACCTAAAAGGTATCTAAAGCCATTTACACATAACAAAATATGTATTTTATCAAAGTTCTAGATTCAGGTAGGTAGCTGCGTTGGTCTGACGCAGTCAAAATATATAAAAAATTGTCCAGTAGCACCTTAGAGGCCAACTAAGTTTGTTCTTGGTATAAGCTTTTGTGTGCATGCATGTATCTGAAGAAGTGTGCATGCACACGAAAGCATATACCAAGAACAAACTTAGTTGGTCTTTAAGGTGCTACTGGACAATTTTTTAATTTTTTTAAATAAATTTTATCAAAGTAGTTGTTGAACTGAAATACAATTAAGAAGAATTATCCAGTTTTTCTTTCCTTTAAATTTTTTTGGGGCCCCCAAGAGAGTGGGGCCCTAAGCTATAGCTTGTTAGTTTATAAGTAAATCCGGACAGCTCCCACCCCATCACATGGCTACGCCCATGGCCTCGAAGTCGAGAGTCCCCCAGTCCTAGAGATATATGATGTGGGGGAACCCCAAAGCTGATTTTGGAGTTCAGTGTGACGTAATGAACTTTCCCTTCTTCTTCTTTTAGATTTGGAGCAAATGAGGAATTGGGAACTAGTAACCAACTTCGGCATCGTCGAGAGCTTCAATTTTGCCAGCTGAGGCGCGCGCGCACACACATACACGGCTCTTTGACTTGGCCCTTCCTCTTAGGGGAAGCCTTGGTGGCTGCGCGCCCGCAGCGCCAGATGCGGAAAAGGCGCTGGCTGGAACGCCTTGCGCCAAGGTGGGCGTTGCTTCCTGGTTTCCGTCCTCAGGTACAGATCGGGAGAGGCGGAGTCTGCTTTTTCCTCTCCTGTGCCAAGGACCGGAGAGCGAAGGCAGGAGGGTGAGTCTCGCAGCCAGGCTGGTGCTTGGCTTTGCCCTAGACGAAGGACACTCACACAACGCGCCATTACAAAGTGCCGGCCCCATATTGTGACCCTAACGCCTGCGCTCGGGAGAGTGTTTACACGGGAGAGTGGAGCCCCCTGTCGCTTTCACACCACCCGTTCGCCCCGTAAACAATCTTGCACCGTTGGGACTCCTTCACTGAAACTTGCAAGAGGCTTCTCTGAAGTTTGTATCTCCGGTGTAGTCAGTTTCGGTTCCTGTGCAATTTTGAGCACCGGATAAATGCTCCCCCTCTTTGGCACAAGGGTACAAGTCATCCGGCTTTGAGAGAGAAAGAGAAAGCGTGTGTGTGAACAGAGAGAGAAAGAGAAAGATCAGCAAGGCTTTGCCCTTCTTTCGGTCCTGGCGTCTTGCTCCCTTTCCTCTCTGCAAAGCTGCCCGTCGAGGGCTGAATGCCGCGCTGTGACATTTGAATCGGGGCTTGCAAGCAGGGCCGGATTTAGGTTTGATGAGGCCCTAAGTTACTGAAGGTAATGGGGCCTTTTATATGTCCAGCTGTCCTTTGCCAACTACAAATTGTCGCTGGGTTTTTTGTGTTGAATATATGCTATATGGTAATTGATGGACCTAATAGGTATCGAAAGCCATTTGCACATAACAAAATATGTATTTTATCAAAGTAATTGTTGAACTGAAATACAATTAAGAAGTACTGTCATACCCCGGGTTACAGCCGCTTCAGGTTGGGTTTTCTCGGGTTGCGGACCGCCAAAACCCAGAAGTACCAGAATGGGTTACTTCCAGGTTTCAGCGGTCACGCATGCGCAGAAGCCCTAAATCGCGCTTTGTGCATGCGCAGAAGCACCGAATCGCAACCCGCGCATGTGCAGGCACGGGTTGCAAACACTGCAGGTTGCAAACATGCATCCCGCACAAATCACATTCGCAACCCAAGCGTCCACTGTACAGTGGTGCCCCGCAAGACGAATGCCTCGCAAGACGGAAAACCCGCTAGACGAAAGGGTTTTCCGTTTTTGAGTTGCTTCGCAGGACGAATTCCCCTATGGGCTTGCTTCGCAAGACGAAAATACCTTGCGAGTCTTGAGATTTTTTTTTTGCTTTTCCCCCCCTTTATCTAATCTGCTAAGCCTTTAATAGCCTTTAATAGCCTTTTAGCAGCTAATCCCCTAAGCCTTTAAGCCTTTAATAGCCGCTAAACCGCTAATAGCGCTAATAGCGCTAATCCGTCAATGGGCTTGCTTCGCAAGACGAAAAAACCGCTAGACGAAGACTCTCGCGGAACGGATTAATTTCGTCTTGCGAGGCACCACTGTATATTAATAGTGAAATACAATTCAGAAGAAGTATATTAATAGTGAAATAATTATTAAGCTATTAAGGAGCCTATGCAACACAAAGCACTGTTGCTGTAAGTAGGTTTTATGTTATTTGTTTTTTATCTTATATTTTGGAAATGTACATCCAGTTTTCCCCCCTTAAATTATTTTGGGGGGGCCCCAAGAGAGTGGGGCCCTAAGCTATAGATCAGGCTTCCTCAACTTCGGCCCTCCAGATATTTTGAGACTACAGTTCCCATCATCCCTGACCACTGGTCCTGCCAAAAACATCTGGAGGGCCGAGGTTGAGGAAGCCTGCTATAGATTGTTTAGCTTATACGTTAATACGGCACTGCTTTTAAGGCTAAACTCCAGAAACAGTAGCTTGTGGGCAGGGCGCTGCTGGATGAGGCCTCCTACCCTGCTGCGTTGACTGGAATCCAGGGGGATTTCCTCATATGCTTTGCCTTTGGGAAGCAATGACTTGCAGAGGAAAGAGGAAGCTGCCAGCAGATGCCCCTGAGCTCAAACAGATGAGTCCTGAGGCACCAGGACAGAGGCCAGCGCTTAATGCAGTGCTCAGCTGAGATCCAGCCTCTCATACCAGGTATGTGCGGGAGCTCCAGTCCTCTGGCTACACAGAAGGACATAGGCAGCAGTGCTCAGTGGTGGGATTTTGTCCAAGGAGGGCAGAGAAATCAGGGAAAGGGCCAAGGGGTTCCAGGAGGCAAGCTTCATCTGCCTAAAACTCTCAAATCTGCCCTGATATCTCAAGCTGAAGATCTCATGCAGACACCGTGGCTAGTTCTCAAGTTTCTTGAAGCATTATATTTTCAATTCTTTGCAGGAAAAAACCAAGTCAAAGAGGTGTCTGTGAGGCAGGGCCCACCACGCCACAGTGTGTTCAGGCTAGACCCACACCCCACGGATTCAGGAAGTAGGGAATATTCATCTTATATGTAAGAGAATCTTTAGAACTGGGACCTATTCAACTTTTGCATGCGAGCATACGGAAATTCATGTATCTGCACACAAGACTCGTTTTAGTACCAACTGTTTTGGCAAAGGAGAGAAACAGGTAGCAGTTGCTATTGTGTGGCCAGCATTTCTCAGGCAAAGCTATGAGTAGAAAAGTGTGCTAGATGGCTGGAGAGGAATGGCATGTTTGTTTGGCTTTCTAGAGCAATTTTGGGAGTGGTGTTCTTGTTTTTCTCCTCCCACTCCAGAGTTGGTCCTGAGAATAGATGTGACTCTCTCTGTCTCTCCCTCTCTCTCAGACATTAAAAGCCGTGTAAAAATACGATTACACAAAATGCATTTACAGTCTCTCTCTCTCTCTCTCTCTCTCACACACACACACAAAATTTCCTTCCCCACTCCATTCAATTATTAACATGTGCAAAGGTGAGTGACTGGGTTTCACCAGCAGTCTGCTTTGTCATAGTATTCTTAGCTGTCCTGTAAGCAATGTTGAAAAAAAAATAATTTTCAAGCATGTGGGCAGGAGGCAGGAGGTCTGGGCCCCAGCACAAAAGACCCAAGGCTCAGGTCCCCTAGTCCACCTCTTCACCACAGCCCTGGGGGGTGGGCTTTATGGGTGAACTGTATGGAAAAAGTCACAGAGTTGCCTTAGAAAAGTGTATGCCTACATTTAAAGTATGTTTAAAACACTTCTCTCTCTGTCCCCTCCCCAGAATCCTGGGAAATGTAGCTATGTGAGTATTAAACTAAAGCTCGCATGATTCTTAGGGGGGTGCTTTAAATGTATGGAGCATACACAGCCTGGGAAATGGGGGCAATGTGTGGAGAAAGAAGCAGAAACAATGTTAGCTGTAAGCAAATGGCTGTATTGTGGGCTGGGTAAGGCTACAGAAAATACCACTAAAGTTGCAGATGACATCCTTGTGAAAGGCCTAGCCTGGGTCAATTCTGGCCACTTGAAACTAGTTGCTTTAGTTCCTTGTGTATTTAGGGAAGGAATGATTGCTCAGAATCTTGGGTCCTTTCTGGATGCAGGGAAAACGCACACCAGGTTTTTCCTTTAGCATTGCAGTAGTGCTAGTCACCATCAAATGTCATTAGCATGATATATTGCCTCCCCGTGAGCATGGTGGAGCATTGCTGCAAGTAATAGCCAACCATGTGCATATTTCCCCCTGTTTGTTTGTTTGTTGCCCAGGGTTCACTGTGGTCTAAACCACTGAGCCTCTTGGGTTTGCCAGTCAAAAGGCCGGCAGTCCGAATCCCCACAACAGGGTGAGCTTCCGTTGCTCTGTCCCAGCTCCTGCCAACCTAGCAGTTCGAAAGCACGCCAGTGCAAGTAGATAAATAGGTACTGTTGTAGTGGGAAGGTAAACAGCATTTCCATGCGCTCTGGTTTCCATCACGGTGTTCCGTTGCACCAGAAGTGGTTTAGTCATGCTGGCCACAAGACCTGGAAAGCTGTCTGTGGACAAAGGCTCCCTCAGCCTGAAAGCAAAATGAGCGCTGCAACCCCATAGTCGCCTCTGACTGGACTTAACTGTCCAGGGGTCCTTTACCTTTAACCTTGCTACCCTTGGGCTCAGGGGATTAAAAAAGGCTCTCCACCCCTCTCCTTATGAATGGTTGTTTACTTTGTAGGCAAGCTGAGGCAGAGCTATGGCCAGCGGCAAAGAGATTCTTCGTGTGGTCAAGGACTTAAAGAGTAAGTGCACATGATTTTCTTATGTGCTTCTTCCCTTTCCTCCATGTGAGCGCATGCATACAAAGCATGATCTGGGGGTGTTTCCCCTCTTGTGTTGACTATCATTTGCACCTCCAAATCTCTGGGTTCCCCAATGCTTGCAGATATCTCCCTCTTGTTTCCCAGAGGTGCTATTTTGGCTATAAACCTATTGTCCTGCCCTGCATTACAGGGCGTAGTAGGGTAGCAGGGCTGGAACATTTAACGCTTTGGAATGTGGCTTAATTGCACCCCTTTCTTTATCTAGATACTGTGACCAAGTTAAACAAAAACTACCAGGAGCAGGGACTACCGGTGACAGACGGGACTCGGGAGCTGCAACAATTCTGTGCCCAGCTGGAGTTCCTGTTGCAGGTAAGGCACCTCTAACAGACTTGGGTTGATGATGTGATAGTAGCAGACATCGTGTGAACTGCAGCTTAAGTTGGTGCACCCACAAAGTCTGCAGCATTTGACTCATTCTGCCCCGCTCTGGTGCTGCTCTTCCCACAAACCTTTTCTGCATCCTGTAGCAAAGTGCAGGTGATCCTTGAGGTTGTGTCATCTTAAGCTGTGTGATAAATATCCGAGAGGGCAGGTTTTTGTTCGTTTCTATTTTTTCTGTGCTGCAACTGCAGCCCATTAATACGAACCCAAAGGGCCTAACTTAGTTAGCTATTATTGTTCTTTCAAAAGCAAATGTATGCCCTGCCCACACAGTGCAGTCACAACGCTCGGAGCAGCTTACAAGAAGGTCAGAGCACATGGCAAGCCCTGCTGGATCAGGGCAAAGGTCCATCCAGTCCAGCAACTTCTTCTAACCATAGGCAACCTGATGCCCATGGAAAACCTGCAGGCGGGACCGGTACGCAGCAGCAGTCACCCTGCTTGCAATTCCCAGCAGCTGGTTTTCTTTTTTCTTTTTTTAAATGATATTTATTAAAAGTTTAACAATTACAGAAAAAAGGAAAACAACACAAAATTTAACAAGACATACATTACAATACATAAAAAGGAAACCATGAAAAAAATACAACAATATAACAAAAAAGAACACTAAAAATCCAATATTCCATATCTTTATCTTTCATTTACTTGTTTCATCGACCTCCTCACACCTCCCTTTTTGTATTCTAGTTCAATTAATTGTTTCAGCAAATTCTTTCCATCTTTCTCAATTTTTGTTCTATAATTTATCTTAACAGTCTAACCTATTTATTAACTCAGCAAATCCTTTCCATCTTTAGCTGTATTCTATCATTAAATTACCTTAATTTATTTTAACCTTATCTTACCATAAAAAGCCTTAAAACTTAAAACTTAATACTTATTTATACATAACTCCTTATATCATTTCTACTAAAGCCAAGTAGTTTCATTCCAACATTTTTCCTAACACTCATTAATTTTACACTAATTCTCAAAGTGAATTTTTTAAAAACTTTCTTCCAATCTTCATCCAACGTCTCTTCTTCCTGGTCTCGGGTTATGTCAGTCCTTTCTATCCATTCCATCTAGTCCATCAACCTGGTGATCTTCTGTCCGAGGCTCTTAAGCCTTTTCCATGTCCCTTCTGCAGATCTTCTTCTTGTTTATACCTGCACTTTACTTTGTCTTTTGCTGATCTTATTCTTAATTTCCTTCCTTTCTCATTGAGGAGTAGGTCTCGGGGAGACTCCAACCTAACCATATCTCCCTCCCCCCTCGGCAGGTCAGCCCATTCTCCGCAGTCAGCACTGTAATCCAAAAAATATTTATAGGCATGTTTCAAAGTCCCTCCAAAGTTAAGAACCCCCACAACTCCAGACTCCCCCTGGCCCAAAACCATATCCCAAAAGCCGAGACATCCCTGCATAGGGGGGTCCATCCAACTTCCCATCTCCAAACCAAACAGTACTCCATCTCTCCAAATCTGACTTTCTCCAGATTCAGTCGTCAAAGACAGCAACTTATGTTCTGACAAGGGCTCGGGTCTCTCCATTTGTGTTACTTGAGGTTCAACAACAACCTCCTCCATTATCTTCTGCACTTGCCCTGTCAAAGCAGATTCCTGGGTTGGTTCCTGAGTGGTTTCTATATAAGTATTCACTGTTTGTCCAAAATTACTGACTGCAACAGTCATCAAATCCATCTTCTCATGCAGCTGCTCCAACAAAGCACTTGCCTTGCAAAAAGCAAGCACCAAAACTTCTTCTAAGCACATTCTTATCCAAGGTCAAAGTCTAGTCTCACGATCCTTAATCTCCACAGCTGTGGAATTCCCCAGATCGACTCCAGCAACAGTTTAACAAGCTCCCTCTAGAGGAGACAATTTCTATTTGTATCCATCTTTTGAAAGCAGGTCCAGCAAGAAAAAAAAAATTTAAAAAAAATACTTTCGTTTTTCAAATTTTTTGTTTCTTTTAAATGCAAAAGGCAACATTGGAATCAATATGTTTCTCTTTTTTAACTATCTGTCAAAAGACGTTTCATTCACAGTCGATGAACTTCCCCAAAACGTCTGTCTCTGACACCCCGTTCCCAGGTTCGAGACGGTGGAAATTTATCTTTCTTTACTCTCTCTCCTACAGGTTTAAACAATTTAAGATTCCCCCCCTCTTCTCCTGCTTCCAAGAGGGGTTTTGGTAATTTTAACTGAAGGAAATTTAGTCCTTTATATACGACTTTCCAGACTTTAGCTTGCAAAATTTTTGCTTCAGTCTATTTACAAAAGCGGAAGGCGGACTTCCTGTTTAGAACCTTCCCGCTTTGGTGCCAAATTGAAATGTTTCGTAGTCCAATTTTCCGTTCTACTCACGGGTAGTTGTTTAGAGTCCAATTGTCCACAGGAAAAAGTCAGCACTCTCCGGCAACGGCTGTGCGGCTTCACTCCATAAAAGTAGCAGTCGATTCAAAACACCGCGCCACTCACCCCACTTCGCTTCGGGTCCCCTAAAAAGGGTTTCCCCGCGAGTAGGGGAGGCGCTCTTGGTGTCAGCCGAATCCCACGTTCCCAGGCTTCCTCCGCCTGGGATTTTTGAAGGGTCTCCACCTTCGCCGCGGCGGCAAGACCCGATTTTCGCGGAGCGGGTTCCTCTCGGTCAGAGGAACTCCGCCATTGCCGATGGCGCTAACCCGGAAGTCTCCCAGCAGCTGGTTTTCAGAGGCAAGTCAACAATTTAAAGCAGTAAAACATCCACATGAACAAACCTGGACCCTAAGATCTTGGGAGGCTTGAAAGTGTGATGGGTGGCTACTGTGAAAAGGGCCTTTTTGGTGGATGCCCCTCCCTAGAGAGACTGGTCTTGAGCCTATCTTAGCCTCTTTCCAGTGGCAGGGGAAGTCTTCTTCATTTTCTCAGGCTTCTTGGATCCATACACTTTTAAGCCATGGAACCTTGCAGTGGTGTTGCTCTGTATCCCCTTCTGTTGTTTTACTGGTGGCAACTGAAACATTTGTGTAACTTCTTGTTGCTTTATTGATTGGTGTTGCATTTTAATTGGGGGGTTTTAAATATACAGTGGTATCTTGGTTCTCAAACTTAATCGGTTCTGGAAGTCTGTTTCAAACCAAAGTGTTCCAAAACCAAGGTGCGCTTTCCCATAGAAAGTAATGCAAAATGAATTAATCTGTTCCAGCCTTTTAAAAACAACCCATAAAACAGCAATTTAACATGAATTTTTCTATCTAATGAAACCCTTGATCCATAAAATGAAAGCAATAAACAATGGACTGCAATCACACAATCAATCAGTAGCTGAACTGGGTTCCACACAGTCACAAAAACACAAAAAAGAGCCGCAAAAACAGACAGACCTCAGCGTAACACTCAAAATGGAAGCGTAACACTCAAAACTGAGCACGTTCGGCTCCTGATAAAAGTTCGCAACCTGGAACACTTACTTCCGGGTTTACAGTGTTTGGGTTCCAGGTTGTTTGAGTACCAAGGTATTTGAGAACCAAGGTACCACTGTATATAATTTTATTAAGTTTTCTGTTTTACAATTTAAAATACTCATTTTACATCCTTAGGATATCAGTGACTTCCCTTCTTCTCTTTCCATGATTCATTTTACATACCATAAATCCCTGCATATTTTACAAAAAATATACAGTGGTACCTCGGGTTACAGACGCTTCAGGTTACAGACGTTTCAGGTTACAGACTCCACTAACCCAGAAATACTACCTCGGGTTAAGAACTTTGCTTCAGGATGAGAACAGAAATCGTGCAGCAGCGGCACAGCGGTAGCGGGTGTCCCCATTAGCTAAGGTTAAGAACAGTTTCAGGTTAAGAACAGACCTCCGGAATGAATTAAGTTCTTAACCCGAGGTACCACTGTATACCATTCAGTATTTCATTATCACATTCATCAAAACTTGTTTACACTGTTGAATTTATCTTAATGCTGCCAGCATTTTCAGCATGTTGCATTTTATTTGTTGGGTGTGGGATACAAATACTACTGCAAATGAGTAAATAAAAATTAACAATGCCATTATCTTTGCTTTCCCTCCACTCTGCTTGGTCATTATAGTATGATCTGAAAGAAAAGAGAAATCTCTTTGGGCAAAGGAAAGATTACTGGGACTTCCTAAGCCGAATCCTGACCAGACTGCACAGTGGTGTTCATGCAGGGGTGCAACATGTCACCTCCCTCGACAAAGTAAGATTGGCTGATGCTATTAATGGTATCGTCACTATTATTTATTCAATTTGTTACTCATCCTTCACTATGTGGTTCCAGGGCAGGTTACAACCATTTTAAAATACAATGCGAAAAACAGTTAAAACAGTCAAGAGAATGGGGTGGGTCCTCAAATTTGCATCTTGAGTTGTCAGAGGCCAGAGCTGCATCTTCAGTGTATGACAAAAACTACACAATAAATGTTCCAGATGCATCTTTGAGGGGATAAATTTCCACAACTTGTGAGCATTGGGGGCAGGAATGGGTACATGTGTATACACAAGGGCCACAGAAGGAAATGGCTATAGACCGATTTCTGAAGACAAATGGATTACAGAAAATATCCCAAGAAAGTAAGTTAATGCTGAATTATAAAATATCTGAACAGGAAGTAGAAGGTGCCATTCAAAATATGCAATTAGGCAAATCTCCAGGACCGGATGGGCTGACTTCTAGATATTATAGATCTTTGAAAGAGTGGTCATTACAACCTTTAAAGGAAGTCTGCAATGAAATATTGGAAGGGAAAAGGGCACCAGAGTCTTGGAAAGAGGCGTACATTACACTTATACCGAAGACAGAGACTGAAAAGACTCAGCTTAAGAACTACCGCCCCATATCGTTACTTAATGTGGATTACAAAATTTTTGCAGACATTTTGGCCAAGAGATTGAAAAAAGTATTGATGGAAGAGATTCATAAAGACCAAGCGGGCTTTCTCCTGGGAAGACACTTGTCCGATAATTTGAGGAATATAATTGATATTTTGGAAAAACTAGAAGTGAACATAAATACTAAAACAGTTTTGATATTTGTGGACGTGGAGAAAGCTTTTGACAATATCTCTTGGAGTTTTATGAAGAAGAACCTACAGGGGATGGGGGTAGGCCAAGGTTTTGAAAACGGTATAAGTGCAATTTATTCAGAACAAAAGGCTAAACTAATTGTAAATAATGTGGTGACGGAAGAATTTAGGATAGAAAAAGGGACAAGACAAGGTTGCCCAATTTCCCCATTGCTTTTTATATCGGTCCTGGAGGTTCTGCTGAACATGATTAGAAGGGACCGGTTGGTTAAAGGTATACAGGTCGGAGCCAAACAGTACAAATTGAGAGCATTTGCAGATGACTTAGTATTGACGTTACAGGAGCCAGAATCTAGTACCAAAAGAGTTTTAGAACTGATTCAAGAATTTGGTCAAGTTGCAGGATTTAAGTTGAATAAGTTAAAGACCAAGGTTTTAGAGAAAAATTTAACACCAATGGAGAGAGAGAGGTTTCAGAATGAGACAGGTTTAACAGTGGTTAAGAAAGTTAAATACTTGGGGATTAACATGACAGCAAAAATGGGAATTTATTTAAAGACAACTATGAAAAATGCTGGGCTGAAGTGAAAAAGATTTAGAAATTTGGTCAAATTTGAAGCTTTCACTGCTGGGCCGTATTGCTGCGGTAAAAATGAATGTATTGCCTAGAATGTTGTTTTTGTTTCAAACACTGCAAATTGTGGACAAAATGGACTGTTTCAAGAGGTGGCAGAGAGATATTTCTAAATTTGTCTGGCAGGGCAAGAAGCCTAGAATAAAATTTAAAATATTAACAGATGCAAAGGAACGAGGTGGATTTGCCCTGCCAGACTTTAAACTTTACTATGAATCAGCAGCTTTTTGCTGGTTGAAAGAATGGTTGCTTCTTGAAAACACTGACATTTTGGATCTAGAAGGGTTCAACAATGTATTTGGATGGCATGCATATCTGTGGTATGATAAGGTCAAAGCACATAAAGCATTTAAAAATCACATTGTCAGGAAAGCATTGTTTAATGTCTGGATAAGATACAAGGACTTATTGGAAAATAAAACTCCAAGGTGGTTGTCACCGATGGAAGCAAAAGCTCTGAAAAAGCTCAATATGGAGGCCAAATGGCCGAAATATTGGGAAATTTTGGAACAAGACGGAGATAGACTGAAATTGCAGAGTTTTGAGAAATTAAAAAACAAAGTGCGAGATTGGCTTCATTATTATCAGATAATGGAGGCATATAAGTTGGATAAGAAAATTGGTTTCCAGGTGGAAAAATCAAAATTAGAAACAGAACTATTAGAACCCAAAACTAAGATTTTGTCAAAGATGTATAACTTGCTGTTGAAATGGAATACTCAGGATGAAATGGTGAAATCTGCTATGATTAAATGGGCACAAGATGTTGGACATAACATAATGATGGCTGACTGGGAACAGTTATGGACCACAGGTATGAAGTTTACGGCATGTAATGCCTTAAGAGAGAATATTATGAAAATGATATACAGGTGGTACATGACCCCAGTCAAGCTTGCAAAAATTTATCATTTGCCCGATAACAAATGTTGGAAATGTAAAGAAACTGAAGGTACATTCTTTCACCTTTGGTGGACGTGCCCAAGGATTAAGGCTTTCTGGGAAATGATATACAATGAACTGAAAAAGTATTTAAATATACCTTCTTGAAAAAACCAGAGGCCTTTCTCCTGGGCATAGTCGGTCAATTGGTGCCAAAGAAGGATAGAACTTTTTTCATGTATGCCACAACAGCAGCAAGAATACTCATTGCAAAGTATTGGAAGACACAAGATCTACCCACTCTGGAAGAATGGCAGATGAAGTTGATGGACTATATGGAACTGGCAGAAATGACTGGCAGAATCCGAGACCAGGGAGAAGAGTCGGTGGAAGAAGATTGGAAGAAGTTCAAAGACTATCTACAGAAATATTGTAAAATTAATGAATGTTAGAACGATGTTGGATAGAAATTAAGTGGTTTCCAGCTGTAATGCTTTAAGGGAATATGAAAAATGGGTTGTTAAGAGGTAAAAATCTAACGTTACTATTTTAAGACCAAAGATTAGGACAAATAAAGAGGGTAAGGATTTGCTGAACCAACAAACTGAACTGGAATACAAAAAAGGGAGGTATGAGGAGGTCCGGGAAACAAGCAAATGAAAGATAAGTGATTGAAAGATTGAATTGTTTTTAACTATTTTTATTTTGTATTTTCCTTTTTCCTTTTTCTATTTTGTAATATTTTGAAAATCCTAATAAATATCTTTTTTTAAAAAAAGGAATGGGTACATGTGAAGAAGTGGGGAAGGAGAAAGGGGGACATGGGCATAGCCAGGGGGCAACTGTCCCCCCAATCAAGTAAATAAAGAAAAATACTTAACAAGCCAACCAATTGCATCACAGATAACTTGGTTCTGTCCCCCTAACATAAAGCCTGCCCCCCCAGCTACGCCCATGTCTCCCTTTCTCCTTCCCCAGTTCTTCACATGTACCCATTCCTGCCCTCAAAATAAATCCTGGCTACGCTCCCCACCCAGAGGTACAATGTGATGGCACTGTCTCTTGTCAACAGGGTCTGCCTGAGGCAGTGCTTCTCATTGGAAGGAGATCCTGCAGAGCAGGGACCAGGAATCAGGGAGATGCTGCACATCATTTGTTCTAGTGATCGAAAGGATGCTCATATTAACAAGGGCAAACAGCCCTTAGGGGTTATTTGAAAAGGGAGCCTCTCCTAAATCTGGTGCCTTGGGCTGGGTGTGGCTGATGGGAGTTGTAGTGCAAAACATTTGGAGGGCACCAGGTTGGGGAAGACTCAAGTGTGCCTTACACCTGGGCTGTTCACATATTCTTTCACATCTTACTGTGCTTTATGCAAAACTAATTTAAGAATACAGCACTGTTTTTCAATGTTAAGAGCCATACACCCATAGCAGGATAGCTCAGTTGATACTGGGATAGCTCAGTTGGCAGAGCTTTAGACTCTTAATCACAGAGTCGTGGGTCTGAGCCCCACACTGGGCAAAAGATTCTTGCATTGCAAGGGGTTGGATTGAATGACCCTTGCCGTCCCTTCCAACTCTACAGCTCTGTGTTCTATGTTTGTTATCTACAATTAAGCACATGGACATGTATTTCTTAGTGGGCTGTTTTTAATGAACCACTAAGGATTGCATAGCAGCATATATATTAGTATAAACAGTATATAAAAGAACTGCTGAATAATCACAGGGAAATCATGCCGTATTTTCAGGGCTGGCCCTAGCATTGGGCAGTGTGTGGTGACCGCCTCAGGCAGCAAATGCAGAGGGGCAGTGGGCATAGCCCTTTGGTTGTTCCTCTTGAACCCCAAACCCAGAATTTATGCCAGGCCAGATGGGGTAGAGATGGTGTCAATAAAGAATCACCTAATGAATATGGCAACTCTTGAAGGCTTTCCCACCTTTGAATGTGAATCTGTTTCCCTTGGTAGCTGAAAACAGCCGTGGGGAAGGGCCGTGCTTTCATTCGTTATTGCCTGGTCCATCGGCAGCTGGCGGAGACCTTGCAGCTTTGTTTCATGGAGCCAGAAGTCATCAGGTAAGAGCTTGAAGGTGAAAGTGGCATGGCAATGGGAGAGGAAGCTTGCAATGCAGGAAAACAAGGTCGCACACTATCCTCATATAGTGCAAAGGAAGAGGGCAGAACGATGGGGAAGTTGGGATAGCACAGGGATCTCCAAGGTGACACTTGTGGGCACCACAATGCCCTGAGATGCACACACACACACTCCTGGTAGCTGCCAAGGCTCTCTGTCCCTCCCAGTTTTTTATTCTTCAAAATAGTAAGACTTCTATGGCTTAGAGAAAGTTGTCAGGTGGTTGTTGTTGTTATTTTCCATTCATTCATTCATTTAAGGATTTATAAACCACCTCCCAATAAATGTTTCTGAAACAGAATGCAACATATCTTAGTAAAAATGGAATATATAAAACATTTTTAAAAACAAACTTTAAGATAACTGCATTACAAAATTATGTATGCATTTATATGGGCCAGCTTCTTTTCTATCTCTGCGTTATTTGTTTTGAGGTTCATGTAGGTATTTTTCCCGTCCTTGCTGTCGTCGTTTGGCTTGGGGTGGGGGAAGGTTTGAGCATCGCCAGTTTTCCTCTGTGAGATGAGCATTTTGTGGCACCCAGGACATTTTCTTAGATTTCCAAATGTGCACCTGGGCCCCTAAAGGTTAGAGTCCCCCAACACAATGAGTTTGTTTAAAGTCTCTGCTATGTATGTATTTATGGTTTGCTCTTTGCAGTGAGTGGTACTACGCACGCAGCCCTTTCTTGGATCGAAAGCTGTGGACGGACATCTTGGGCTTCCTCTATGAGCTGGATGGCATGGCCTTTCACCTGGCCCTGCGCAGAGGAGACCTGGATGCTGCGTGGCCCGTGGTCTCTGAGTGAGTAGCAGGCGCTGCGTATTTTCCATGGATGCAGATACAGCCTCCCCACTCTGAGCTTTCTGAGTAAGGCAGTCAAAGGAAGTGGGCGAGGGGAGGGGCTTTGTTGCATGTTGTCACCAGCAGAAGGTGCTCTTCCCTCCTCAAAAGTTTTCACACCAGAGCATTTGGTTCAGGTCTTGTTCTGCCACTGCTAAGCTTCTGTTATTTTGCAGGCGGCTTCACAGCATAAAGCCACGGAAGTGGTAAACCTCATAGAAACAGAAAAAAGTACTGAGATGCAAGCTCTGCACTAATAGAATCAGTTCATCAAACTAAAACAGTGAAAACAGCCATACAAATGCTAAAAATAACAAAACAATTTCATAAAATTGGCCTTCCATAAATGACTGGGCTACACCTCCAGGAAAGCCTTCCTAAACAAAAATGTCTTCATTTATGCACCTAAATATCATCATGGGAGACACCTGTCTGATTTTGGTTAGTAATTGATCCCAGAGAGCTGGAGCTGCCAAAAGCCCACTTTCTAGTACAGGCTAAGTGTATCTCTGGATGCTAATACTGATATCATCAGCATCCTTGCAAATCCGCTGCTTTGATCTCTTCCAGAGTTTTGCCACGATGTTCCAACCCAGCTGCTATGCACTCCCAGCAGAAGGAAGCATCCTCTGAGGTACATATTCCCCACTTCCTTGCCTAGCCCGTTGCAAAATACTTCCTGCCCTAAGACCCCAGCAATGATTTTGGATCACTGGTGTACCTTGAGAGCTTTTCCTTTCCCTGTCATGAAAATGGATCTAGAACCTGCAACCCCTTCCCAGCCCAAACACAGGAGGGCTGTGGTGGTCACTTGTTCCCCTTCCTGGTTTAGGAAAACGTGTCTTGGTGGTGGTATGGGCTGTAGCCAATCAACACTCTCTACAGCTGGCTTTTCCTCACCTCAGATGTGCAGAGCCAGTTTTGTGGAGCTCACACTAAGAGAGGAAAGGGTACATTTGTATTAAACACTGTGGGGGCACTTCAAAACCTGTCCTCATTACTTTACAAATGTTGTGTCTGTCTTTATCTTACCTCGCATTAAAAAGCGAGGGAGCTCCTAACTTTGCAAACCTTAGATTGTTGTTCAGCCTCTTGTTCACTTTTTTCATTCACAGTAGTTTAGAGGCCTTTATTCCTGGCTGTGAACCAACTTTTGAATCTAGCACCCATTGATAATACTCTAATTTCCTAGGATCCAGCCTGATCCCATCACTCTGTACCAAACAATTTATGTGTTTGTTGACCATAGGTTGGGAACTCAAACAGAGACTGCGGGAACCACCAAGGGGCCACCAAAGTTCATGAGAGCTCGCCAAGAACCACTAGTGACCAACATGCTGTTGAGCCAACTGCTGATGATCGACTCAGTGCTGGGCTGGAAAACTCTATGGAGAAATGGGTTGGGATCTGGAGAAGCAGGAAGAACAGTCTGCTGCAGATGGGTGCTTTCTTGAAGCTGAGTCATTTTATGGAAGCGGATCCAGCTGCTGGCAAGGAGGTGCAGAAGGGAAATGGTGAGCTGCAGACCCAAGTGGAGAAGCTGAGCAAGGAGCAGCCAGGAAGCATCTCTTCCATCGAGGAACGGTGTTCCCTGCTTCATCAGACAGATCACTGCCTGTGTGGAAAGATGGAGAGTCCACCTACTGAAGGTGACACCAAGTGGAAGCAGGACTTCAAAACACTGATGTGGGAGCTTGCTGCTTTGCGGCAAAAATTGGCCCAGCAACAAGAGGAGAATGCATCTCTGAGACTAGCCCTTTTGGAGGAAAACCAGCTTCTGAAAGAGGAGCGGGCAAAACATGAGCAGCAACACAAGGAGAAGATGGATGAGCAGGAAAAACAGCAGCAGGAGTTGGCCAAAACCATCAAGGCCCTCAGGGAGGCAGAGGACAAGGTTGCCAACCTGACTAGCGAATGCCAGGAGGCCTGGTCCAAGAGAGATGCCGCCGAGAGGTCTCTAGAGGAGGCAGAGCAAAGGCTGAGTTCTCAGGAGGCAGAGAGGAGGAAGCACTTGGCAGACATTGAGGCCCAAGAGTTAAGGCGCCAGCAGCTGGTCTCTCGGTGTCAGGGCCTACAGGAGAAGCTGAAGGCATGCGAAGAGAGCTTGGAGAAGTGGGAAGCCCAAGCGGTAGCTTGGAAAAGCCAAGGTGGCCAGCTGGGAATGAATGAGGAGCAGCCAGAAGGCATGAGCTGCAGGCCAGCAGAAAGGGAAGAACATCCAGTCATGTTGGAATGGGGTCCTCTAAAGGGGAAACTGGAGAGGAGCCTTGCTGAGATACAGGTACTAGAGAGGGAGAAGGAGACTCTTATGGAAACTCTGGTGTCCCAGGAGAAAAGTCTGGTGTTTTCAAAACTAGAGGTTCAGGACCTTCAGAAGGAGCTGTCGGCATGTCAGGAGCATGTTGCCACTCTCCGGACATCTCTGGAGGAGCAGGAGAAGGCCCTAAGGGTCAAGGAAGAAGCAGCTCAGGGTTTGCAAAGAGAGTTGAATAGCCAGTTGGCCCAGCTACAGGATGCCCTGGGGAAAAACACTACGCTGGAGGCTCATTTAGAGGAAGCGGCCAGCAAGAAGTCTCAGCTGGAAGCTCAAGCTGTTGAGGAGCAGGCCAGGCATGAAAGGACTTTGCAGGAATTAGGGAACCAGCTGGGAACTTTTGAAAAGGAGGTGGCCATACTGCAAGAGGAGAGGCAGCAGCTGTGGGCCACCTTGCAGCAAGCCGTCAAAGAAAGAGAGGCCTTGGCAATGCAAGCTGAGAGCATGGCTTCTGCTCTGGACGGACGGACGCAGGAGGCTACACAGCTTCGGAACGAGCTGGAGGAGCTCAAGGCCACCAGCAAAGCACAACAGACATCCTTGCAGGAGACAAATGAAGTAGTGGCCTCAGCCCTCAGGGGAGAGTGCCTACAGCTGAGAAATCAAGTGGAGCAACTGGAGCAGGAGAAGATGTGGGCCACAAACATTGCGGAGCAACTGAGTGAAGACTTGGAGCAGGGCTGGGAATGGCCCAGGGAGGAAGGTGCTCTACAGAGGACATGGCCTCCTTCTGTCACTGTGCTGGACTTGGCCTGTGGGGCCAGAGATGAAAAGGGCAGTGACCTGGTCAGGAAGAGGGGCATTGCTGAGGAAAACAGCCATGGAGGAGCAGGGTCACGGCCAATGAACACAGAGTTTCTTCAGGTCGATGGGCTGCAAGATGCGGCAAGTCCTGTCAAGAAAGGGGCCAGTGCTAAGCCTAGTGCAGAAGCCCATGGGAAGGTAAGGGACTCATGTTCCATGTACAATGTGAAGATACATGATAGTTGAGAAATGGTGTGCTACTGATCCTGACCATATGGAGGCACTTGCCTGCAACTGGCATCCCTCTTCTCCAGTGAGAGAAAGTCTGCGGAAGGGGTAGCCAATGTGGTGGCCTCCAGAAGTTGTTGGACTCCAACTCCCATCAGCCCCAGCCAGTGTAGGCAGTAGCCAGAGATGCTGGAAGTTGGAGTCCAGCCACATATGGTGGGCACCATGTTGACTAGCTCACATGTATGGCAAGTCAAAATAACTATGAAGTTTGAGTTTTATATGTCATGTGCTGAACTTTTAAATTTGGGGTGAATCTAGAGTTTCATCTAGGACTCAGATTTTAGGCAATCCTCAAATTTATGTGACAAAACTTGAATTTCAGTACTCAAATCTGGAAATTGAAACTAAACATTTGGTCTCTAAAAACCAATCCCCTAATTCTGATTTATTTTTTCAAAAATAAAATCAAACCGTTAACTTAAAAGCAACGTTTTTCTGCAGCATTATTTCAAGGGGGGAAAAAAACATTGGAGACAGGAACAAACAGTGTGTGTATCAGAAAAAAGTAAAACCATTTTTTCTATGCAAAGTCCTGGTGTGCTGGTGAAGCTCCAGGCCAGAAAGTATTGTGAGCAAAAATATAGGCTCATTTAGAGTGCTGGGCAAAAAAAGCAGCTAAGTAAGTTCTGGAGTTTAGCAGTCCATTACCAATGGCATTTTCTGAAGGAGTGCTGCCCCAGCAACTTCATTTTGCAGATGCTGCTACAGCCTTGAAAATGCAGCTGTCGAATTTGAAGCCTTGGCAATAACCCCACAGTTGCATGCTCCTGGGTCTGTGTGATCTCTCTAACTGGGACCCACTGATTTTCTATTGTGCTTCCCCCCCCCTACCTGATTCCCCTCAGTGTCTAACTCACCATCTGAAGAAAATGACGGCTGATGTGCAGCAAGCAAAGCAAATGTTTGCTGCCAAGGAACAAACGATGATGCAGCTGATGGAGCAGCTGAGCCGGTGAGAGCATGAGCCTATTTCATTGGATGGTAGGTTTAAGGGAAGGACTGTAGCTCAGGGAGAGAGGAGGTGCTTTGCATGGAGAAGAGTTCATATCCCATCTCTGGTAGGACTGGGAAGACCCCTGCCTCAAACCCTGCAGAACTGCTACCGGTCACTGCACTGAGATAGATGGACCATTGGTTTGACTTGGTGTAAGTCAGTTTCCTGTGCTTCTATAAAGCAGGGATAGGGAATTAGATCTGGCCAGTCACCTGTCAATCACCTGATGTCATAAAATGTCAGGTGATTCAGCTGCAAAGAAAGAATTGTGAGTGCCCTTCGTGTGCTCCAGGTCCTGTGTTAAGGAAATGCTGAAGAAATCATATATTATCAAACTCCAGGATTCTTTGAAACAGGCCATTGCAATTAAAGTGGTTCGAAACAACAGATGTTCACAGTGTGTATGTATTCAGTAGTTTCCTTTCCTCCTGCTTAGGTCTCAGCAGGAAAAAGAACAGTTGCTGCTTTTGCTGGAGAAAAGCCGACAGGAATCGGAAGAGAAGGAGAAGAGGTACAAAGGGGAGCTGTCAGAACAGGGGGAGACCATTTGCAACATGAAAGGAAAACTGCTGGAGTTACTACGGTGAGTAAACTGAGTCCATGAGGAGCAGAGGAGAAGGGAGCCGCACTCCCTTCATGCTGCTGGCTTTGGAAATGCAGACTAGGCGACTGGGGGGGAGGGGACCCCACAAAGATCAAAACACACTAGATAAGCTAGAGACCAGCCAGAGTCTCATCTTCCCAGCTGGAATCCTCAGCTGCAGCGCAGTGATAAAGAGCAACACACATCCAAGCACCACAGAATAGCAATACAAAGCGTAGTATTCATTTTATTAAGATCAATACAACTGCAATCTTATGTATAGGTTCCTGGGAGTGAGCTGCATTGGTACTCACTTCAAATTGCATAGGGTCAGCTTGTAAAACACATTGAGTGCATTTCTTGAATTGACAATGGGCTACAAGAGATGATCTATAATTCTTCAAAGGCTCCATCTTTTGTCATGGGCTGGTGGCGGTCATTAGCTGCCTATAGAGCTAGAAAAAGTAAATTTCTCTGTCCTCCGTTTTCTTCTTCAGGGAAAAAGATGCCCTGTGGCAAAAGACAGAAGGCATTGCCTCCACAACAATATCCCCAGCTCCTCAGAACCCAGGGGTGTGTGTTCAGTGCAAAAAGGATTTCAGGCTCATGTCGCGCCGATACCAGTGCAGGTAACGTCTGTCCTATTATTATTGTTGTTGTTGTTATTATTATTAATTAAATTTATATGCTGCCCATTATCCAAAGATCACAGGGGCAGTTCATAACATAAAAATACAAAATGAGAACACAAAATACATGATAAGAACAAGAACAAACCAATAGCCCCTCTCCCACAAACACATTTAAAATGACAGGCTGTTTAATTAGCCAAAGGACAGGGAAAAGAGGCTGCTTGGTTCAATGTAATGAAGGCGCCAGGCAAGCCTTCCCAGGGAGAACATTCTACAAATGGGGAGCCACTGTATAAAAGAAATAACTTGTGTGGAGGACCAAGTGTTCAGGGCTGGATTTAGGTTTGATGAGGCCCTAAACTACTGAAGGTAATGGGGCCCTTTATATGTCCAGCTGTCCTTTGTCAACAACAAATTGTCACTGTTTTTTGTGTTGAATATATGCTGCATGGTAATTTATGGACCTAATAGGTATCTAAAGCCATTTGCCACTGTTGCTGTATGTAGGTTTGTTTGTTTTTTTATCTTATATTCTGGAAATGTACATCAAGGTGTTTTTTCTTTAAAAAAATTTGAGGGCCCCAAGAGAGTGGGGCCCTAAGCTATAGCTTGTTTAGCTTATACGTAAATCCAGCACTGCAAGTGTGTCAAGGATAAACAGAACTTTAGCCAGGAATTATGCTTTTTCCTCCCCCTGTTCTGTTTTTCTGCCCTACTGGATCCCACAGCATGTGGGAAAAGGGGGCTGAACCAGAGAATGGCCCTCCCCAGTGAAGAATACCCCTACAGATGGGTCTCTTTGGTCAAAGTGAGAATGTGAAAGCATCGAATGACGGAACATCCCAGTGTGTCCTTTTGCATGCGGGGACTTCTGGAGAGAGCTGACGTATATCTCCGTTGGTAATATTAGATAAGTTATGCATATCGTTGAAGGGCACTCAGATGCAAAAAGGGGTGATCATTTTTTGAGATTTAGGCACCATGCTTCTGTTACTACAGCCTCAATTTGCATTAGCTTTTTAGGCAGCTGCGCCACAGCTCATATTCAGTTTCTGATCAACTCGGACTTTTCACCTGAAACAAGTGAATAAGCACATCATAAATTAAGTGGCAATACCCTAAAACCACACTCTCATATCCTCTCCATCTCAAAAGCCTCTTTTTGTATCTTTTTCCTTGTACCATCATCCCATAGTGTGAGAAAGCTAGCTGTCAACAATTTCAGGTGCCCAGGCTGTGTCTCACGTGATGTTTCCCATTTCTCGTCAGTTGTTCCCATGCTCGCTTGTGAAAACCACAATGTCTTGTTTTGGATCATGACTTCTCCTTTCTGCAGCTGTTGTTACTAATGAAGGGTCTCCAGCTCCCTAGCAGTTGAAGAGGGGTGATGCAGTGGCAGGGCCTAATTTGATGGGACACACATCCCCAGTCAGATCTATCATCTCTCTACTTTTTAAACCTCCTGCCCTTGCCTTTAAAAACTTGTATAAACTCTTTGTTTACAGGGCAGCTGGATGCTCTGCAAGTTCAGTGCCGGTGACATGCCAGCCACCTGCCATCTTATTGTGTCTAGAGGCATCTATAGACAGGCCCTGTCAATGATCCAAGAGGACCAGGCCACTTCCAGCTTTTGAGACCCCTAGTCATAATGTGTGTAGTGCATTATCATGACTATTCAGAGCAGGTTTGGATTTTTAGCCCTGCCCTTTATGTCAGGTTGTTACAGTTTGGGGATAGAACTGGATAGTGAACTTTAAATAACAGCTTTGCTCTGCTTGCCAAAATTGATCAGGCCTGAAACGCACAGCATAGGATGCTTTCTTCGGAAAAAGGAATGCAAGGATATAAAGATAAACAAACAGACCAAAACCTGAGGTCTTCCTTTGCAAGGGAATATATGGACAAAGAACCAGACCAAAAATGAAAGTCCAAAACTTTGTTGCCTAACAAAATGTTACACAGCTTTGGATATTCTCACCCTTGTGAAGAAAAACACTGTAAAGGAGAAATAGAGATTAAAGTGAAGGCATTACTCAACCTAGCACACTAACCCTAATACACACACACACACACACACACACACACACACACACACACACACACACCAAGGAGTGAGGAAGTAAGTACATCCAGAAAAGAGTGTCCTGGCAAAGGAGCCTGATAAAATTAGGAAAAATAAGTAAGGCAGGAGAAAGAAGTGCCATGGTCACATCTTTCCCATAGAATCCATAAAGCCAACTGACTTGTGAAAACAGCATTCTTCTCTGTCAAGATCCAGATTTAACTTGTCTTGAAATTGTTCTCTCCACTTGCATGGGAATGTCCTCCATTTGCATAGGCCCACAGCTTCTGCATTTTAAAAGTAGCAGAATGCAGATTGCTTGCATCACAGTTCACACGCACAGCAAATCTTGTTTGCTTCTTAGCCCTCTGTAAGGGAAATCTCTCTCATGCAGACACTCACAGAAAGGTAACTGTTCCATTCTGGTTGCCCTGCTGTCACTAGAGCTAGAACTATTTCTTAGCAAATGTTGCTCTTTAAAGCTCACGACTTAAATTTTCAGTCCAACTGGGTTAAAAACACTGCTTACTTAATTTCAAAAATAAAAGGACAGAACAGGATTTGAGAGATATGATACATATTTTTAAGAAGCATTATATAAAGCATAAGCATACATGTCGTTAATAAACATTAACAAAGTGGTTTCCTGTGCACACTCACTCTTTCGCTTTCTCTTTTTTTAAAATATAATTTTTATTAGTTTTTTTAACATATCATTTTCAACAGTAATTAAAAATACTTTTACATCTTATTCAAATTTTTGACTTCCATCAATCCTGTCTGAAAATTTTCCAATCTAATCTCTCAGTATGCATTTCTTATTCTCCCTATTACATTTCAAACTCATAACCAATATCTCTATCTTTTTATACTTTGTAACACTTCGTATATTTCTCCTTACAAAACTTCTTGTAATCCTACTAGCGTAATTTGTTGATTATAGTTGCTCTTCAAATAATTCATATACTTCTTCCAATCTTCTGTAAATCTCTGGTCCCGCAGGTTTTGAATCCTTCCTGTCATTTTGTCCAATTCTGCATAGTCCATTAATTTTGTCTGCCATTCTTCTTTCATCGGAATTTCTTCTTGTTTCCATTTCTGGGTTAATAATACTCTTGCCGCAGTTGTTGCATATAAAAACAATTTAACATCTTGCCTATTAATATCCTGACCTATAATACCAAGTAAAAATGCTTCTGGGTTTTTTAAGAATGTGTATTTCAACATCTTTTTCATCTCATTATATATCATTTCCCAGAAGTTCTTTACTTTTTTACATTCCCACCTTCTTTCGCTTTCTCAGGTTGTGTCGGAGCATGGTGTGTCACGCCTGCTCGGTGAGCAGCGGGCACAAGGAGCGCTGCTGCCTTCCCTGCTACCAGAAGAGAAATGGCCAGGGCACCTGACCAGACTCAGAGGGCTCAGCCAGGCAGCCCATTCCACCCAGTGGTACAGACACTGCAAGTCCAGAAAATGGCTCCCTCCCTGAGTGTCATGTGGGAATGGATGTGACTGACTTCTGTTTGGGCATTGGTTGCAGGCTCCTCCAAATGAAGAGGAGCGTATGGTGGCAGTCAGGGACATCGTAATGATAAACGGCTTAGAAATTAAATTTGTATCAGGGATGACTCTAAATATTCAGTGGGTTCCAGTGGTGTAGGAGAATCTCTCATTCTTTCCAGATCCAACACTATTAGTTAGAAGTCTGTTTTTATCTGGTGTTTCTGTGAGGCATGCAGCCAGGCACTCAGATTCAGCCATTTGCCTTCAGCCCCTGCAGCTGAATATTTCCCAAGCTTCTCCTTTGCGGGATACCATGTGTTGACTCAACAAACAGTTGCTGTGGTTGGTTTGAGGTCCTGGGGACAGCAAGCACATGAAGCATGGATAAGGGCATTGTCCCAATGAACTTGAGTCCATCATTAAAGTTAAGCATATGGAAGCTGGCAAACATGGGATCTGAAAGTGAGCGACTTCATGAGCAGTTGCCCTGTTCTCTCTCAGCAGCATCACAGAAGGAGAAATTTTGTGGGATAATGCTGTGGCTACGCCAAATTCCCAAGCTAGTCCAGGGAAGCATTTTGCTTCCGACTGTACTGTTTCCTACTGCAGGTGGTGGGAACTCCTAAGGCAGCTGGGAAGATGACTGATCAGGAAGAATTATGGAAGGGGAGGAGTCCCCGTCGCCACCATGGATGGCAGGTGTCATGTCCCCAGTTCACTGTACTTTATTTTTACTCTGAAGATCACTATTGGAAACTGGAATCCATAATTGAATCATGTAATTGCTGTGGAAGAAATGATTATTTATGGGGTGGAGCATTCAGAAATTAAATCTTAAAGAAAATCATCTGGGTGGTTTTGTGTTAGTTCTTTTCCTTCCTTTTTTGTGCAATAAAACATATTTTGTAGTGTTATGTTTCTCTATAATAGCAAAGGAATCCATAACAACAACAAAAATGTCAATATGTGTCAGCTGCTGCAGAAACAGTGACATTAAAATGTAGTCTTTCTCTCTCCCCATGCCTTACTTTAGCAAACAAGGTGGCTGGGGGAAGAAGCTGGTGGATCAAGCTACCTGTGGCATTTGAAATGTGCTATTAAATCTTCTATGTGAATGTCAGGAGGGATGTGGGTGGCGCTGTGGTTTAAACCACTGTGCCGCTTGGGCTTGCTGATCGGAAGGTTGGTGGTTTGAGGCCCCGCAATGGGGTGAGCTCCCGTTGCTCGGTCCCTGCTCCTGCCAACCTAGCAGTTTGAAAGCATGCAGTGCAAGTAGATAAATAGGTACTGCTCCAGCAGCGTTTCTGTGCGCTGCTCTGGTTTTGCCAGAAGCAGCTTAGTCATGCTGGCCACATGACCCGGAAAAACTGTCTGCAGAAGCGGACAAACACCGGCTCCCTCGGCCTGTAAAGCAAGATGAGCACCACAACCCCAGAGTCGTTCGCGACTGGACTTAAATGTCAGGGGTCCCTTTACCTTTACCTATGTGAATGTCAAGTTTTATTGCTCACTCTTAATGTTCATATAAAGAAGCTGCAAGAGTCAAACACATGCCTAACCAGGGCTTCAATTTGATCAACCCAATAAACTAGAGTGGAGGCGCACAAATCTTTTTCCTGGTGACCACTTGAAATGGGCCATTTACATGACTTGGTTACCATCCCATTTCGCGCAAGAGATCCTTCCCTAGAGTTGTCTAGTCAGCAGCATCCAAACTCTAAAACTCACAGGGCAGGGTCTAGTGACATCACAAGTTCCCAAGATTCTTTGGAGGAAGCCATGGCTGATTCTGCTTTAAATGCACTGTGCAGATGGGGCCTGATTAGCCTTGCCTTATGAGAAATAAGAACTTAACTATTTCCATGACACTTTCTCAGATTTCAAAATGGACCCATTGTCCTGAAAAGGTTGGCAACCCCTGTAAGCTTTTCCCTGCCCTATTTTTTTAAATAGTGCCAGTCTAAGGTTGTATTCTTCCCATAAAATGGAGTGGCTACTCCAGTTTATTTATATTCTGCAATATTTCTATACTGCCTTTCACATAGTTCAAACCAGGATGGAGAACCACCTTTCTTCCTCTGTGCTTTTAACAGCAGCTGGATCTGCAAAGATTTCCATGGCATAAAGACCAGCACGATCAAAAGGCATGGGAGGAGCTGGGGGAAAGAAAGATATGGCAATCTTAGCTGAAACAGATTGCCTAAAAGCACTTGGCCCTAGAGAGTTGATGAATAAGAAAATGTGCATTCAGCACATCCTCCATCCTGCTCTTTCTCTCTTGTCTGCAACTGTGAGGCAACTGGGTGCAACAGTGGGCAAGGGAGATGCCTCTTAGCCAACCATTTGTTCTCCTCTGCAGGCTTCCTGCTGTTCTTGCAAAAGGCTGCTTCAATGAAATCTCTTAAGCAAGAGGTTTCCCAGTGGCAGCTGCAGAGGAAATGCAGAGCCTGTGAAGGAAGCATAGTCTGTACCTGTAAACATATTAGGCCTGTCAGGTGATTAAATAAATATAAAGGCAGGGACCAGGTCTACACAGAAGGAAGCCCCACTGACTTAGAATGTGTGGATAAGGTTGCAGCCTTGTTTGCTTAACTGCAGAAGTGATTAAAATTACAGGCATTTGCAAATGATTAAAATAATAGCTCTGAAGAATGAGACAAAGCATGATTTATTTGCTTAAATGATGCACAGGCAGCAGGCACCATCTCAGAAGAGGTGTCCTGTCCTGGGTGAGAAAAAAAGCAGGCTGCCTCTACAAGAGAGATCAGATGCAGTGTTAGAAACAGAGATACGAAAGCTAGGAGCTAAATGGCACCTTAAACCTAGGTTATGGGTGCAACAACAGAATGTCTAGGCGCCCTTTTTATAACAAAGCTGGAAATGAATGAACTGCAACTGAAAACTTGTGTTCATTTTTTGAGGCCACCGAGAGTGAAACGCTGCCTTCGTGTAAGGCCAGCTGAGAGGCAGAACCTATCAGCTTGCCTGACGCTGCAGTGATCTCTTGGAAGTTGAGTGGGGAGGAATTTCTCCTCCCACACCCTCAGGGCCAGAAGTGGCAGTTTTAATCTGAAATCTTAGACGCAGTACTGCAGTCCGGAGCTCAGAGACTGCTCGTGTTTATGAAATTCCCTGTCACAAAACACGCCTGGAACAATGGGAATTTCGAACACTGGTCGGATGTAACTGAGGTTGGAACCCCTGCACTTTTAATAGCTGTGTAGAAGAAAGATTTTCAGCAGCCAACTCTCTTCATGAAAGCAACATCTAATAAAATTCCCTCTTTTATATAGCTATGAAAGGTCTGGGAGCCCTGTCCTTTCTTTCGCCTGGGTGGGCACCATGGCTCCTTGGCCATGAAAAGTGTCTCTACCAGCAGAGTTGAATGGTGAAGCTCAGAAGCCCTCCAAAATGTGCCTGTTGAGGAGATCTGAAATGTGGCATCACCCTCCCAGGATGCATCTCTCAGCTGTGATGGGTGAGGATGATGTCAGCTATTTACAGTAGGTGAGGAGGATGTGGGGGCTTTTCTCAAAAACCAGTTGGGTAACAGCTGCTCTGGCATCCCGGAAATGACATCTGCCAGCATTACAAAGGTGGGAAATCCCTTTAAAACCTTGGATTGCAACTGTCTCTGGGGCAGAGGACAGCCACTACTAGCTAGAATACCATCATCACAAAAAGGACATAAATTGGTCAGAAAAACATCTAGTTTTGTTCAAAGTAGCTAGGGAACACAATTCTCTAAACCCAATGGACTCTATAATGCATAAGATAGTATCATCTGGAATTTGAGGACCGGCAAAGAACTACAGTGCTACCTCGGGTTAAGTACTTAATTCGTTCCGGAGGTCCGTTCTTAACCTGAAACTGTTCTTAACCTGAAGCACCACTTTAGCTAATGGGGCCTCCTGCTGCTGCTGCGCCGCCGGAGCATGATTTCTGTTCTCATCCTGAAGCAAAGTTCTTAACCTGAAGCACTATTTCTGGGTTAGCAGAGTCTGTAACCTGAAGCGTATGTAACCTGAAGCGTATGTAACCCAAGGTACCACTGTACTCAAAAAATCATCACAAACAAGTTGTAAATAGGTCAGAAAAATATTGTGTTTTGTCCAAAGCCTCTAATTTGTCACTAATTTTAGAGACTGGGCAGCTTCTGCTTTGCTTATAGGTCCAGTATTGAAAATGCAGACATGATCCTACCAAATATACACATTGATTACATTGAATATGCACTAGTTCATTATTTTATTGGATTCTAGAACAGCTGTACACTTGTGCATGAAAGGAAATTTGTGGTCTCTGTTGCATCAAAAGATTCCAGTCAATATAGCAACATGATTTGTTGCAAAATACAGTCATTGGACATCATGTCCATCTGAACATTGACTAAACAAAAAAAATATCTGTTTCTGGAGAGGTCTGTAGACACATTCCCCATATCTAAAATATCTCCATCCAAAGACTGACTGACTTCTAAAGTTAAAAGACATCTAATCTGCTCATCACGCCTTCTTCTTTCTATTGCAGTACGAAGAAATATGTTAACAATTAACCTCAGTGTGCACAGCTTGTGAAGACTCCATAGCAAGCACTTTCCTAAAGAAGCACATGAGGTTTCCTAAACACTCCTTCTACACTGTTCCATCATAGTGATAAGTCCCACTAAGTTCAATGGGGCTTTCTTCTGAGTAGGATGTATTGGGTTGTGCTATAAATGATTCAGGACTGCTTCCCATATTATGTGTTACTTGTATGGAAAGCAATTCCATGGACAAAATACCGTATTTTTTGCCCTATAGGATGCACTTTTTCCCCTCCAAAAATGAAGGGGAAATGTGTGTGCATCCTATGGGGCGAATGCAGGCTTTCGCTGAAGCCTGGAGAGCGAGAGGCGTCGGTGCGCACCAACCCCTCTCGCTCTCCACGCTTCAGGAAGCTATCCGCAAGCCTTGGGAGCCTGGCGAGAGTGCCCGTCGGGCTCCCAAGGCTTGCGGGCAGCAGCCTGCAGCCCAAAGCACGGGGTGCACTCCGGAGCGCGCCCGGTGCTTCGCGCAAATGTCCGCAAGCCTTGCGAGCCCGGCGGGAGTTCCCGCCGGGCTCACAAGGCTTGCAGGCAACAGCCTGTTCTGGGGGCTGGGGACGGGGAAAGCTTGGGCTTCCCCTGCCCCCAGCCCCACAAGCAAGCTCCGGGAGCGATGGCGAGGTTGTGCAACCTCACCATCACTCCCGGACCCGTTCTGGGGGCTGAGGTCAAGGGAAGCTCAGGCTTCCCCCGCCCCCAGCCCCGCAAGCCCCAAGGCTAAAAATGAAGCCAGGACAGCTAGCGCGATCCATCCCGCTCGCTGTCATGGCTTCTTTGCTCTTTGGGGCTCGGGGGGGGGGAATAATTCCCCCCCCCTTTATTTCCCCTCCAAAAAAATTAGTGCGCCCTATAGGGCGAAAAATACGGTAGTGGGAAACCCATACACAGATTGTCATATGTTACATGCACAAATGCATATTATCCATTGGATGTTCATGCTCCTGGAAGCTTCAGTTGATGTGTTTTTGTGTATACACACAAACACACATATACATGCACAGACGTACACACATAAACACACACACAAAACACACACACACCTATTGGGAAGTGCCTGATGCTACTTGGGAATTTTTAGAAACAAAAAATATTGTGATTTTTAAATGGATAGTGTAATCTGCGAGTTTGGAACCATCACATCAAAAAATAGGTGAAGTCACCTCAGTATTCAAATGGTGATGAAGTCTGCTGCCCCTACCTCAGGAACCCTTGTACTCAATTAAGTGATGAAATCTTGAGAGACAACCAAACCTATGCCAAAAAATGGGCATAGGTATCAAGCATTCTTCCACAGCAGCCACTTCTAAATGATTGACCAACTATAGGACATGCAACTTAAGGTATCAGTGTATAATCTTGTAAAAGTCTTTTGTTGTTAGTGTTTTAATAACAACTTCATCAGGTGCTGTACATGTAGAAAATATAAGAGAGATGGAATAGTTAAACCAGGATTCTTTATTGGGCCAACATCTTATATAATAAAGGAAGGTAACATGTCACCTGTTTAGAATTTGTAGGAATACAAATCTACATAACATCAGCCAGACCTTCTTATTTCATACAGCTAGCTACAACACTGGCAGTATAGGCAGAGGCAGAGGGCCGATACTTTATCCCTGAGATATCATGCATCAGTCCTTTTTTATTTCTTACAGTCCTTTTTTATTTCAAACTTTACAGAGAGAGGCTACAGAATCCAGCCTCTTGAATAACGGCATTGTCCCGAGTGAATCTGCATTCATCATCATCATCATCTCCTCTACGGGTGCCACTAAGTGCCCTCTGTCTTTGAGTTCTTTGCTCTCCTACTTTTAAGGCTCGCCAGGTTCTGGGAGATGGTGGGTCTAGAATGCTTTCTAGTGACAACGTGTCAGCCAGCTGCTGCTCCAGCTCTGCCTGCTCCTCCTCTCCCATTATTTCTCAACTTTTCTCCTCATCTGCCTCTGTGCTGTGACCTCCCGCAAACCACTGTTGTGAATCTATACAGTCTTCCTCCTCCCTGGAAGGGACAGGATGGGGAGGGGGTCTCCACCACTCCTCCTCCTCTGCCCAGCCCCTGACAATGGCTCTAGATGTGCACAATGAACCTACCTACCTTGACACAAGTGAATTATGGCAATCAGGTCTATGCATCCTGTTCCTTAATTCGTTGTATGTTCGCATTAGCAGCTTAAAACACAGCAAATGTTTTGAGAGGACTGCAGCAAACAGCAGTATGTCAAGAAACTACAGGATTAATATTAATTGTAAATAATGTGTGAATGCAGCTTCAAAAACTAGCAGTAGAAACACTGGATTTGGATAAAGCAGTAATGGGAAAATACCCTAACTATTAGGGAAACATGTGACCTCAGGTAAAAGTTATGGAGATGGGCCTTTTCCCTAAAGGCCATTGTGTGCATTATTCCTTATTACCACCCTCTCTCCATTACGTTGACTTAATCATAGCTCCGCAGGCAAATTTACAGCAAAATCATATTTTTATCAAGATGTATTAACAAATTCATATTAAAATAAACAAACGAAAGATCTATAAAAGAATAATTAAAAGTGAATTCGAGATAGAGTTGGAATTAAGTTTGTTTTCTCTCCATATATCTTATTTTTTGTTAAGCATATAAATGCACCCAGAATTTTGTCACAGGATTCTACTTTAGACAGATTGGCTATGAAAGAACAGGATATTGTTTGGCTATCATTTATTAAAGAACTGCATATTATCTGCACTGGACATAAACTGGTAGCCATCTTGGTTTTAATGCACAGAATTCCATTTGAGAACATTATACATGTTTCTGGGTGTACAATACCTGATGTGCAAATGTTCAGATTATTTGAATCACAAAAACTTTCTGGGAGGAAAATAGACATATTTGCTTTTCTGACAAGCATGTGGGGATGTTTTGTGTCATCAATAATCATTGCTGAATCTAAGCTAATACTGGCAGATTATTTCTATTTTATTTATTTTATTATTTCTACACCGCCCTATAGCCAAAGGTATACAGGTTTTTTTTTAAGCATCTCAGTGGTATCACTTTAGTGAGTCTGACTCTTGAAGCCTTTTTACAAGCATGGCTATTACAGAGTTGTAGATGTGATGCCAGAGGTCGATGAGAAGGAGGAACCCCTTCTAAACCGAGTCAAGGCTTCTTTGCTGATGATGCCTCTTGTGACCAGGATCTTGAGGAAGTTGTTCCGGAACTTCTGCCCTATGAAGGCATATATGATAGGGTTTATGCAGCTGTGAGCAAATCCCAGGATTTCCGTACCCGAAAGGGCTGCATCAATGCTGTTGCGAAGGTCACAGGTTTCACCAATAGCTCCAGACCTCATTAACGTATCAAGAAGCAGAGAGATATTGTAGGGCAGCCAACAGACCAGGAAGACCAGCATCACAGCCAAGATGACTTTCATGGCCTTCTTTCTTTGACTGTTATTAGTCTGGTAGAGTCTGTGTACCGTCACACCATAGCAGAAAAGCATGATGATCAAGGGAAGAAAGAAGCCAAATGTTTGTGGCAGGATTCTCAGTTTCACCCTAATCTCAGGTGTCTGATTCCCTTCAATATTTTCATAGCAAACACACTTGTAGAAATGGGATGGTAGGTAAGCCACACGGAAGATAATCCCAGGAAGGGAGAAGAGGAAGGAGAACAGCCAGATGCCAACGCAGACAAATTTGACCCAGCTCCTCTTCTGAGTGACTGCCCGAGTAGCATAAACGATTGCCAGGTAGCGATCCACGCTGATACAGGCCAGCAGGAGGATGCCGCTGTAGAAGTTGACTTCCCTCAGGAGTGACAGGATTTTGCACATGGGAGTACCAAAGATCCATTCATGCACTCTATCTACAGCCCAGAATGGCAAACTAAGTGCAAAGAGGAGATCAGCAATGGCGAGGTTCAGAAGATACACATCTGTGGCAGAACGGTTTCCTTTGTTGTAGGCAATCACCAGAACCACCAAGGAGTTTCCCACCAGGCTCAGAAGGCATGTGAGACCGTAGATGAATGCCACTAGGTACTTGAAAACATCTGGTGTAACATTAATTCCGCAAGGTGAGGCTGCTGCTGCTATACTGTTAGGGTCAAAGGTGCCGTACACGTCACTGTAATTACCATCTAGATAATAATCCAGAAAATCCAGATCAGAAATCACAACTGAGTTTGCCATTATTGAGGTCTTGCTCTGTGCCTGTGTAGAGTATGAAAACAAAACAGACATATGAACGAGTTCATTAAGATCAGTGGGATACATATTTGTTATATATGGGCCCAACCTAAGTTTAACCATTCTCAAAATGCTTGAGCATTTTAACACAGAAGTTAAAACTGCTGCATCTTAAATCCTGCATATCAGTCAATGTTACACAAGAACCAAACAGTAGAGCTAAAAGGAACCTGGCACTCATCTAACAAATCCATTTCCTGCTACCACTCAAAACCTGTTGCTAAATGAAGTAGCCTTTGGAATCCATATACAGTGGTACCTTGGGTTAAGTACTTAATTCGTTCTGGAGGTCTGTTCTTAACCTGAAACTGTTCTTAACCTGAAGCACCACTTTAGCTAATGGGGCCTCCTGCTGCTGCCGCGCCACCGGAGCACGATTTCTGTTCTCATCCTGAAGCAAAGTTCTTAACGTGAAGCACTATTTCTGGGTTAGCGGAGTATGGAATCCTGAAGTGTATGTAACCTGAAGCATATGTAACCCGAGGTACCACTGTAATACTGTGCTGCATGTAGAAAACTCTGCTACAAGTGACAAGAGTTTGCTTTGGGAAACTCTTCTAGATCTTCTAGATCTGTCAGCAGCTTTCGACATGGTTGATCACGAACTTCTGGACCACCGCCTTGCCGACGTGGGGATCCAGGGCACAGTCCTTCAATGGCTGCGCTCGTTTCTCTCTGGTCGGGGACAGAGGGTGGCACTTGGGGGGGAATTGTCATCGCGCCACTCCTTGGTGTGTGGAGTACCTCAGGGTGCGATACTCTCCCCGATGCTTTTCAACATCTTTATGCGCCCTCGCCCAGCTTGTTCGGAGTTTTGGGCTGGGTTGCCATCAGTATGCCGATGACACCCAACTCTATCTGTTGATGGATGGCCATCCTGACTCGGCCCCAGACACACTGACCAGATGTTTGGAAGCTATGGCTGGATGGTTACGTGGGAGCCGGTTGAAGCTAAATCCTTCGAAGACAGAGGTCCTGTGGCTGGGACGGGGCGATATGGGATTGGGGGGACAACTCCCATCTCTTGCGGCGGCGCAATTAGTGCCAGCACCGTCCGTTAAGAGTTTGGGTGTAATCTTCGACACCTCCCTTTCCATGGAGGCGCAGATTGCAGCTATAACAAAGGCGGCAATTTTCCATCTCCGCCAAGCTAAGCAGTTGGCTCCTTACCTCTCTCGCCCTGACCTAGCCACTGTGATCCATGCGACGGTCACCTCCAGACTGGATTATTGTAACTCGCTCTACGTGGGGCTGCCCTTGAGACTGACCCAGAAACTCCAGCGGGTGCAGAATGCTGCAGCGAGACTCCTTATGGGGTCTTCGCTGCGAGATCACATTCACCCGGTGCTATACCAGCTGCACTGGCTCCCGGTGGAGTACAGGATCAGGTTTAAGGTGCTGGTTTTAACCTTTAAAGCCCTATACGGCCTAGGACCCTCGTACCTACGGGACCGCCTCTCCTGGTATGCCCCACAGAGAAACTTACGGTCTTCGAATAAAAACATCTTGAATGTCCCAGGCCACAGAGAAGTTAGGCTGGCCTCAACTAGAGCCAGGGCTTTTTCGGCTGTGGCTCCGATCTGGTGGAACACTCTGTCACAAGAGACCAGGGCCCTGCGGGACTTGACATCTTTCCACAGGGCCTGCAAGACAGAGCTGTTCCACCAGGCCTTTGGCCAGGGCACAGCCTGACTCCCTCCCTCGGCAATCTTCGCGGAGCTCTGGCCCAATGGTTGCCAGTGGCTTGAATTAATTAATTTTATAACGAATGATTTTAGACTGTTGTTTATGCTGTACTTTTGTACTGTTTTATTGTTGTTAGCCGCCCTGAGCCCGGCTTCGGCTGGGGAGGGCGGGATATAAATAAAATTTATTATTATTATTATTATTATTATTATTATTATTATTGGGGCAGGAGTGGAATTGTCTTCAGGCTGATTCAGGGAGAGATCACTGAGGAAAAAGATCTACTTTTTTCTATCCATACCCTCCAATATCTCACTGTTCAAAATCAGGATGCTCCATTTTTAGTCCTGAGCTCTTGGGGGAACCAGCTGACTCTTGCAGGAGGAGGTTCCCCATCACTGGTGTGTGAGAACATATAAGTGGCTGGCTTTTCCACACACACACACACACACACACAAAATTGCATTGATTTGATAAAACCAACCAGGCTTCTTTCCACACAAGAGCTTTCTGACAACATATATATGATAGGTCAATTCCAGACAGATTCCAACTATACAGGTTGAATGCGTGGCCATTTCTCCTACTTTTCCTAATGAAAACAAAGACTGGGTTTTCTATCATTCCACAGAGGCCATAGATTGCAGCAACAGGGTCATAATTTAATTATTAAAAGCATATTTTGTTCCCAAGAAGGGATGTGGGTGGCACTGTGGGTTAAACCACAGAGCCTAGGACTTGCCGATCAGAAGGTCAGTGGTTTGAATCCCCGCAACGGGGTGAGCTCCCCTTGCTCGGTCCCAGCTCCTGCCAACCCAGCAGTTCGAAAGCACATCAAAGTGCAAGTAGATAAATAGGTACCGCTCCGGCGAGAAGGTAAATGGCGTTTCCGTGCGCTGCTCTGGTTTGGCAGAAGCGGCTTAGTCATGCTGGCCACATGACCCGGAAGCTGTACGCCGGCTCCCTCGGCCAAGAAAGCGAGATGAGCGCCGCAAGCCCAGAGTCGGTCACGACTGGACCTAATGGTCAGGGGTCCCTTTACCTTTACCTTGTTCCCAAGAGGGTTGTGCCTCCTTTTCAAAACTCTTTTAAGTTTTTTCTAGTTTTATTTATACCCCTTCCTTTCATTTCTGTTAGTGTTTATTGTGCTTATTTTTTAAAATGTGTAATCGATCATGGATATCTGTGATTCCTGCACACAACAAGGGCTCACACAGGTACTAAAGCAGCCAAAAAATAAAATAACGTATGGGAATTTCTGCAATAGGGGGATTATTCGGAAAATATTGGGTGCTTCCAGATGACCTGTTTACTGAGCATTCAAAGCTTCATTGCTCCAAAGCTTTATGGTGCTTTCCCCTGTCATTTTCCTTATACTGTAACAAAAAGTCAAAAATTGTGCAACATGAATTTGCCAGTACAGTGGTACCTCGGGTTAAGAACTTAATTTGTTCTGGAGGTCCATTCTTAACCTGAAACTGTTCTGAATCTGAGGTACCACTTTAGTTAATGGGGCCTCCCGCTGCCGCCACATGATTTCTGTTCTCATCCTGAAGCAAAGTTCTTAACCTGATGCACTATTTCTGGGTTAGCGGAGTCTGTAACCTGAAGCATCTGTAACCTGAAGCATCTGTAAACCCGAGGTACCACTGTACGTGATTGAGTCTCTCCCTAAAATAGCACCTGTCTGGAGGGGTTCATTGTCTATTCTGAGGACCAACCAGGGCTTTTTTTCAGCTAGAACTCACCGGAACTCAGTTCCAGCACCTTTAAGGTGGGCACCATTATAAGAGAAGAAGGGAGGCACTCATGGTGAGTTCCAGAACATTTTTTTCTAGAAAAAGAGCACTGGAGCAACTAATGCACAATGTTTTCCTTTTATGAGGCTAAACTACATGTGGTGAAGAATTTGATATCTGTGTACACCAGAGGTAGGCAGCATGGTGCTCTCCTTTTATCTTGGACTTCATCTCCTATTTGCTCCATTCCTCATTTCCCAATGGTCAGAGCACCACATTGGCTACATCTGGTATATACTGCATACCATCATATGTGAAAACAGATCAAGTGTTTATTTTTATGTGATAACTTCAAAACATCTGTCATAACCACTGCAAAACATACACACGTGCTATTTTGCTCTCTTCCTGTGGAGAGGATATGTCTGTGTAGCAAAACTACATGTGTGAAGTTTCACCTTGACGGCAATGTGGGGAAATCTGTGCCAATAACTTGGTTGCTTTTGCTGTTCTTGCAATAGGAAGTGTGAGCACACCTCTTTCTCAAGATGCACAGCATGTTTGCTTTAGCAGGTCTGCCATGCAAGTCTCATTCCTGAGGTCTGCGTTAATACCCAATGCATAAAGTTTTTCCTACATGGACCTTTGTTCTCTGCTTTAAGGCTAGGAAACAACCAACAGTGGAGAGATGACTCCTTTCAGTATATATTCAAAATCCAGATTGACTCATTTATGTGCAAAAAAAATCAACCTATAGTGACATTTCCTGATATTCTTATATTTCATATGATTTGTAAAATTAGTCTGGTGACGAGTTCAATGTAGATTTGGACATTCTGCTTCTAAAATGCTGCTGTAACATGGGAGTGAACAGAAATGATTTGGCTCAGAAGCTGCCACTGAGATAGCCTCCTGTTGCGATTTAATGCTTCTCTGGGCTGACACTGTAAACTCCCTTTTACTCACTGGTCCAATGGAATACCCCATAACTGCTACATAGCCAGGCAGTACATGGCAGTTTGGTCTGTATCCCTGACGCATGCTGCAAAGAGTCGGGGGGAAATGCAATGCCAGTCTGTGTAATCATGAAGTCCTAGAAAATGCATAAGGAGACTCATGCAGAGGTGTAGCTGCTGTTGAATACCTGACAATGATTTCCTGTATAAACAGGTCTCTCCTGTGGAGGCAGCTTCACTTTCGGGGTGTGTGAGTGTGAGTGTGATGAGTGTACTATTATAGTAGCTGCTTCCTTTAAGAATATAAGAGCAGCATCTTTTTCCCTTCACCTTTCTCTGTTTTCCCCAGTCAAAATTTATGCTGCATGCTCTATGAGGCCAGGAACCTGTCAATTTGGCTTATGAAGGGTAGCAGCAACAGCTGTAGTAAATAGTTGTTGCAATTGTTGATAATGATGGTGCTGTCTATAGCTCATTATCATTTGCAGAATCCTTCTCTAGATAGCTGTTCCACCTCAGAAGTCATTCTGTATTAGTTCCAAATATGTGAGCTGCTTATAAT